TATTTCTTGTTGTTTATTGCCTGGAAGTATCCAAAGAGAACAAATTGTAATTGCAGGTTATTGTGCGTGGCCAGCTTGTCAGCTGGTGCACAAAGTCCATCTAATAAAAAAAAGCCTTGAAAACTTTCAGCAAAGGGAACTAAAGATATACTTGGCTGGGCCAGTGTCAGAGCTGTGTCTCACTTAGAGAGAATGGATGTTTGTAGAACTTGCACCTCCATCCCACACTTCTGAAACCCTGCCTATAACAATGACTGACAACCTTCTGGAACTTTAATTTAGTAAAGTTTCACTAAAATTCGTGGTAATGTTGTGCCCCAGAATCTGGTCCTGAAATGTACATGTTGCACCCAATGGTAATTTTGTTGTCAGTGCCTTCATCTCATTAAGGGAGAAGCAAAAATGAAAATGACAGAAAGCAAAAGAGAAATTAAAAATTACTCATTTAAATTTAGGAAGCTTCCGGGCAGAACCAGAAGGATCAATGGGAAAAAAAAATTCTAGGAAAAAAGGAACAGAAAAAAGGGGAATGATGAAATCCAGGGATACAGGGAGGGAAAAGAGAGAAGTGAGAAGAGTGGAAACAAGGAAGTGGCAAAATAAAAGGAGAAGCTGCTGTTTTAAAGAAATGGGAAATGTAACTTATGGAAACAAAGCAAAAGAGACCAGGGAATGGGATTTTAAAAGGAGAGAATAAATGAAGAGTAAATGGATTTAGAGGGATTGTGATGGAGAAGGCAGTAAGGAAAGAAAGGTAAGCTGTGGAGAGAAAAACAAAGAGCAAAATAATTTTATATTCTGTGTTAAAGAATAAAAGCTGTTAAAACAGAGGACCTATTTCCCTCCACAAAACATATATTCATCTGCTCATCTGCTTGAGAGGTATTAAATGTAAGAGAGTGGCAGGGTTTGCCATACATTCTCAGTGAGATTCAGTTCTCTAACCCTATGACTTTTAACTCCCATTTTTGGACCTTTTAGGTCCATAGAGATCCAACCCTTGCAGAGTGAATTTTGTCCCTGCTACTGTAGGCTTGGAGGTTTTTCATTCACTTTTTGGAGAAAGCCTTGGAAGCAGCCCACAGATGCTCAAAGAGTCCCCAGGCAGCTGCTGAAAAACTCTGGGCTGGGTGGGGGTGGCTGCTGCTCCTTCTGCTGCTGACTGCTCCCATGGTTCCAGCTGTACCAACCCACATGCTGGAAAAACTAGTCCCAAGTTTCACCCCTGGTGTTAGTCCAGTCAGATGGGAAAATCATCTCAAAATTAGTGCATGTTTTGGTGAACAGGGGAGTCCTGCCACATAGATTCAGACCTGAATGTACCACATAGCAAAAACTATGATGAAGGTTAGTTCCCATCACAGAAGCAGAGAGGAATATTTCAGGCAGAGTCAGAAAACCTGATTCTGTCCAGATTTTACCACATGATAACTCTGAATTATGGAAACCTATTTCTCTTATATGTGCTGTGCAGGGAAAGATTTGTCTTGTCAGGGTTACAGTAATTTCAAAACTTTACACAATTCAAGCCACAAAACACACAGAGAGGCAGGTTTTACTCATGTTATCACTACACATTTGATTTATTTACATCTCATTATATTTTCATCAGACTGAACAGGTTTAATGGAACTGTGTGACCAGAAACCAACAGAGGATCTGGATGGGACATGGAGATTTTATTTGTGTTGCTCTGACTGATGTCCTGCAGTAGCATAAATGTTAGGACAGGAGAAAGTTTCTGCTGTGGGACTGGGGGTCTATTCCTCTGTCTGATGGTGTCTGTAGCTCTTTTTAGTAATAAGACATATTTTCATTTTAACCAAATATCCACAGTGTGTGAAGTAGTGTCAAGGGATGTGGAGGCAGGACTTGGTCAAGAAAGAGGTGTAGGAAAGAATTCTTTTCTCCACACTGGAGACTGCAGGAGGGCTGCAAGGACCACACCATGGGGTGGTATTCAGGCTGATTTCTCTGCAGAGGGAAAAGAACCCAGTACCCATCAGTCTGAGTGATGGGCTGTGTACCTGGCTTAAGGGAAACAGAAGTTTAGAACATGGATGTTACTTCTGTCCAAAAAACGCTGTTGCAGGGGATCTGTCCCCTGCAGTTTGTGAGGAAAGAGAGATATGGATTGGAAAAGGACTGGTAAATGTTCAGGGGGAGGCAAATGAAAGATCTTTTATGAGATAGAAAATTAAACTGGCAAGAACATCAGAGCATCTGGTGGCTGTACTGGGTGTTACTTTAACTTCCTTCTTAATTTTTAATTTAATTTTTTTAAACTGGGATGTGATCCAACTGAGATTAACTAAACTTTGGTTTCAAAAGGGATTTGGATAAAACCTATATGACACAGTGGAGCTGGGTTTATTTTTCACTGTGGTTTCATTTTCTTTTTTCACTGAAGAGTTTCAAGCCAGGACATGTTTCAGTGGCCTAATCTCAAACATGCACAGGAACAGTTTCTCTGTTTGCTTTGCAGGGAGGAGCTGCCTCACTTCAGGAGAAGTGCAAGAATGAACACAACTGCTTTGCTGTCAGATTTCAGTGCTGGCTGCAGCTCATGGGCAGTAATGGGACCAGCACTGTGTAGCAAGCAAGCAGATGTCAGTGACCATCCACAACTGGATAACAACACTTGGATTTCCAAGGTATTTCTACCCACATGGAAGGAGAGAGCTGCTTTTTTCCCCATTATTCTGCAACACTGCTCTGTTTAGCTGAAAATACTCTAAACACATTCCCACTTCTGATACAGCTACCTAAATAAATAAGGACAGACAGTTGCTAAATTTCTGTCATAATTGCAGCAGGCACCTGTTCTTGGCCACTAAAGCCGAGGTTGCTAACACATTTCCACAGTGCTTAAAATTTTCCAACCAACAATCTTTTGGGAAGAAATTTTCCACATTTGGCTTCTGCTTGAGAGCATTTTTTTTTCTTCTGTGCTTGAGAAAAACGGTGCCAGCTGTCCTTGAGCACAGCATGAATTATAAAATTGTGCCTCTGAAGTAAAAAAGACTTATTAGGGTGTACCAAGGTGAAATAAAAAGCTTGCTCTAGACCCTTCAAGAGCAAAGTTTTTGCCTGGCATTACACTTGACATTGATTTATCTAGATTACTAAAAATGCAGCAATAACTTTGTTTTGATAGAGCTAAGAATGATTTATCTATAGGTGTGTGAAAAACAAAAAAAGCTTGCAGTTCACAGGAGCTGTAAGTGGAGAGCTGCCAGGTGGGTCAGAGGAGTTCTCTGCTGCCCTCACAAAATGCACTTCTTTGTTTGCAGAGAACAGGGTGCGACTGCACCTTCCACGGGAGGGAAACCCACGTCACTGCTCCAGGCTCCTTCCTTTCCCACCACATCAGTACTTTGCTTTGGGGAGCAGGCAACTAAATGTGAAATTTTGCAAAGTTACTGGCACTTGGATGTTAAAAAAAAATTAAGTTTACTACTCCAGACTGTGTGGCCAATATTATATCTATATCTATATCTATATCTATATCTATATCTATATCTATATCTATATCTATCTATCTATCTATCTATATATATATATACACACATATACATCCATACAACCATATGCACACAGAAGGGAGATACAGAGAGACTTTCAAATTACTATTCTCTAGTCAACTAATTCTGTAAACTACTATTCTGCTACTAATCTGTATTCTTGACAAAACGCTCATAGTAACTAAAATATCCCAGAATGTACCACTCAAGACTTATTGCCTATTATCAAAACTGGCATATTGAACATTATAAAATTAATCAACCATTTGGAGCACTTGATTGGGATATACATTTTGTATAGGAAGGTATAAATTTGATGTTGGTTTAGTTACAATATACTCAAGCATGAAATGTCCTGGTCTTTCCAAGTCAAGTACAGACACTTGAAGACTGGCTTAATAGCAAGTTTGCATGTATTATATATGAATTATTATTTCACTGGATAATCCCATGCATCTGTCCTTATAAGCTTTATGTGTCTCCCCCATCTAAATGGTTTTTTTGGGTGTTTTGTTTTTGGCTTTGGGTTTTTTTAACACCATATTTTCTAGCATTTTGAAGGCTGTTAGAAGGTAATTTCTATCTGTTAACAAACCAGAGGGGGAAAAAAGAACTAAACAAAAACCCCTTTACCACAGCCACAACCATATTTCCCTCTCTGCTGTAGGAATCCCCTGTTTTTTTCATGAGATCATTAGGAAATCGCATGCTGCTGTGTTTTAAGAAAAGTTTTAAAAAATACCCTAACAAAACAAACAAAAACCCCAAACAGTACTATTTTTAGCTTTCTATAATTTAATTAAACGGGTCTTTCCTCCTCAGAGTAAAAAACCGAAGCTTTCTCTTTTATGTGAAATTAGCTTTTAGCTGTCATCTAAAGTAGCGGGGAGAGGAGGAGGGAGAATGGTAGAAACGGGGGAGGCGAGGGGGGCACGAACAATTTTTTTTTCCTCTAGAGAAAGATCGCACTTTTCAGTCCTTTCGAAAAATACACAATTGCCACTTTTTTCCCTTCTTTTTTTCTTTTTTTCTTTTTTTTTTTTTTTTTTGGTTTGGTTTTTGTTTTTTTGTCGCTAGAGGGACTTTGATTTATTGTCAGAAGCAAAATGGCCCGGAGAAAGAAACTCTCGGAGTCTTAACAAAAATAAATAAATAAATAAAGGGGTGAGTGGTGAAGAGGGAAGGGAAGGGGTCTGTCGGGGTGCCGAGGGATGCTGCTCGGCCCGGCCCGGCCCGGCTCGGCGCGGTGGTGTCGTTCCGTGCGGTTCCGTGCCGTGCCGAGCCGTGCCGTGCCGGCGGGGAAGCCTTGCATCACCGCCCCGGCCCGCTTCCCTCCTCCCTCTCTTTCGGAGAGGCTATTAATAGCATGACATCAGCCAGGGACTCGCCGCCAGAGTAAATACCAGCGCTGCCCGCTCGGCTATAAAAGGGGGGTGATGCAACCCGGGCGAGCGGCAGAGGAGCGGGGAGCCGAGGGAGCCGCTCTCCCGCGGGAGGCGGCGGAGCAGCGCGGACCGCAGCGCACCGGGGCTGCCGAGCCCCTTCCCTCCTGCCGGGACAGCGGCGGCGGCGGCAGGAAGGTAGGTGGGAGCGGGGCAGGGGCGGCCGGGACTGCCCGAGCCGGCGGGACGAGGGGCTGAGCTCGGGGAGGCTGTCCCGCCGCGGAGGGATGGATGGAGGGATAGATGGAGGGATGGACGGATGCATGGATGCCCGCGGGGGACCCGCGCCGCGCCGCCGCCAAAAGTTTCGCCGCCCCGGGCGAAGTCTGGCGCGGCGGTGCCGCCGCCTGCCGTGAGCTCCGGGAGAGCCCCCGGCCCCGCCGAGCTCCGCCGGAGCCCCCCGGCCGCCCGGCCCCGTGCCGGCGCTCACATCTGGGGGAACCCCCTGCCCGGGCTGCCGCCAGATGTGAGCGCCGGGGGAGCCCGCCCGGCCCCGGCTGTCCCCGGCCGGCAGCGCCGCTCGGCACCGCGCGGTGGCGGCCGCGGCGGGGACACGGCAGCCCCGGGAGCCCCGGGATGCCCGAGCGGAGCGGCCGCGGCGGGGACACGGCAGCCCGGGAGCCCCGGGATGCCCGAGCGGAGCGGCCGCGGCGGGGACACGGCAGCCCGGGAGCCCCGGGATGCCCGAGCGGAGCGGCCGCGGCGGGGACACGGCAGCCCCGGAGCCGCGGGATGCCCGAGCGGAGCGGCCGCGCCCGGCGCTGGGGGCAGCCGGCGGCGGCACGGCGGGGACAGGCGCGGGGGAGCCGCGGCGGGACAGCCCGGGCCATGACACACCCGCACTGCCGCGAGCAGAGTTATCTCTGATATTCCCGTAAACCGACCGGGAACTTCTCGTGACAGCCGGGGATATCCGCTCTCCTTTCGGTCCCGGTGTCCCCTCCTTGGCGTGAGGTGGATCAGTTGCTGAACTGTTGCCTAAGCAAATCAGGTGTGACACAACGGACAACTTCTTTCAGAGAACGGGTTTCCTGTTGGAAATCGATTTTCCTCCTAGTAACAGCGTTTGAGAAACTGAAAGGCAGCAGAGAAAATGCTTCGGGAGCGATGTGGGATGTCAGAAAGCTTAAGGTCAACTAGCGTGCACAGAGGTTGTGAACTGTAATTGCTCTTAATGCTGTTTAAGATTAACCTCAGTGGTTATCAAGGTTTATTGCATCAGCAGCAGAGGAAAAGGAATTCGTATGAAGAAATAAAACCAAGAAGCACAGTCAGCCATCTGCTGTTAAGCAAGAAAAAAAACTGAAAGTAGTCACTTTCAATATTAAAATTAAACAAGCATATCCTTAAATAATGGAAGAGCACAGCTAGGAAGCCTGTTCAGATTTTAAAATCTTGGCAGAGGAGGTGTAAAAGCTCATTGTAGATGAAAAGAATCATCTTCAAAACAACAAACAAAAAGCAGGGGGAGAACGAATGAATAGAGTTGTTTGAACCTACCTGAATAGGGAGGGTAAAACTGTTGAGAATTCCAGAAGTAAGGCTAAAGCAATGAAGCATTAACTGAGCCCGGGAACAAGCTGTGCCGGGAGCAGGGCAGGGCTGAGAAGTGTTCGGCACCTCCAGTGGCAGCAACTGCAGGACATGTGCGTGGTCTAACGCAGTAAACAGAGATTGTATCAGAGAGGCCACGGTGGAATCACGCTCTAAGGCTTGATACTCTTATTCCTACTGCTTCCCAAACCCAGAGGAAGTGAGATAGTGTTCTGTGTGGCTTTTGGACAGAGGGACAATTTGTACAAAAATTGGGACAAGGAAGGGCAACTTGTTGCATTTTTTTTTTTTTAATAGTAAAGTCTAATTTTCCTATTTGTAAAACATTTCTGAAAGCAGTTTTGTTCCTCAGAAACTGCCAAACATCTATCTACCTTGTTGGAGCAATTAGAGTTGCATTTCAGGATGATTGGGAGGGCAGTGAGCTGTCTGGGCAGGAGAGCAGCCAGCTCCTATGGTCAAGGACACTTTCTCCTGCTCTGGGCACCTGACCACTCCTCTTTTACACACTAGTGACAGGGGGGTGAGAGCACCTGAAGCCATTGCAGTAGGGTTTTGGTGGTGTTTGTGGTACACTTAGCACTACCTACTAGAAATCCACAATTAACACAATTTCTCAGGCACATTCTTGGTTTCCTCTGGTGCTGCTGCTGCTGACCTTAATTAAAAGTTCACCTAAACTGAAAAATAATTGAATAAACCAGCAGAGCTTGAAAATTATTAGCCCAACTAGTTATCTTGGAGGCTGGAAAAATAGTTTTATTGTTACTTTAAGAATCCTGGTTGGATTGAATTATACAGAATTAACTTTGTTGAACGAAGCCATCATCAGCATTCAAGGACACTGAGTCAGTGAAAATAACTGAAATTTCTGCTGGCAGTGAGGGGGTCAGTGTCATCTGGAATTAGCCTGTTTAAATAAGTTGAATGGTTAAATGCTGGTAAATGGTAAATAATACTGGGAGGACTTCAGCTGGAAATTAATAGGGCCATTTCTGACTTGCTGGAAAAGAGTAACTGCTAGCTTTCTGAGATTATAGGATTAAACTGTATCAGTACTTTGAATGTGACTCATGAGCAGGGGCTTTCTGAAGAGAATTACATAAATTTCCCAAGGTCTTTCTGAATAACAGATTGTTCCAAATAATTTCCCCATCTTGAATAACTACAGGTGAAATCCTGGCCTCATTGAGGTCAACAGAAAAAGTCCTTTTGATTTCACTGGGGTCAGGATTTCACCCTGAGACTCTGGGAAATGTTCAGCTCTTCTGTGGTCCCTGGGTGAAGAAGAAGTGAGGAAGACTGCAGTTGGACCTGATATTTTCCAACAACAGGCAATTCACACTCCGCTGATTTTTGTGTTTGCCTCACAGCGATGAACCAGGTTCTATTCTCATTTGCACCAGTGTGGATTTACAGAGTATTTTTAGATATCTCTGAGCAAATTCTATCTTCTTCTCAAGGCACATGACCCCAAACATTTCTTGCTGGGTTCCAGAAGTAACGTACAGGGAACCGTGCAGTTCTGGGTTGACCATGTGGAAATTTAGCTTCCCCACACTGCTACCCTGAGGCAGCTGTTTGCTTACCTGCACCGAGTTAATTACAATTGACTTTCCTGTAATTATTGTGTTCTAATCCAGAGTAGATAATTACATACTGTAGTTATCCATACCGCTTTAAAAAAAGCCCAAAACAACAACAACAAAACCAAAAATCTTTGCAACAAAGATAGCTAGAAAACCAACATAGTAAAATCCAATTTAACACAAGTCACTTTGTGAACCAGGGAAATATTACAATCTGTTTTCCTGTCGATTTGCACCTTTTGTCCCTTGGACCATACACAAAAGGTGCTCAGTTTTCTTCCAGACCTCTTATCTCACCTCTACTGGGTGAGAGATGGGCTGTGACTTGCAGGGATGTGTGCATCAGCAAACCCACTGTGTTTGGATGACTGACTGCTGAGTTTTGCCTCTTTCTCCCTCAGTGGGGCCACCAGTTTTCACAGAGCACATGGGGCCTCTCCCCCTTCAAAACTGGCTAAAAATAAATAACAAGAATGACTAAAAAGAGAAAAGTAGAGAGCACTGTTGGATAAGTTTGTTTTCTTCAGAAATCTATTAGAAATGAGGTTTCTCCACGGTTTACATTTGCATAATTCCCCTAAAGACTCTTCAATCACACTGTTTTATGTCAGCAGAAGATCCAGCCATAAATATTTAAGAATTTCAAGCCTCTCATAGAGGGCACATAAGGACAGTTTCGAATTTTACAAGAGCAAAGGAATGAAAAAACGGCTTCACATTTTTCATGAGTCAATTCCTCCAACTCAGCCTGTGCTGTGGAGCCACAGAGCATGTAGAGATTTTTGCCTTTGTGTCAGCTCTTATTGTTAACTATTTTCAGGGGTTTATAGCCAAATTTACAACTGTGTGTAAAATTGAGTTTGATAACTTTGTGACAGATCCTGTTGTGGTTAGCAAGCTTCAGCTTCTAGTAGAACTCATTGAGCTAAGTGTAGCTGAGAACAAGGTTTGCTCTGTCCATTTGAAGCTGGAATTTGTGGTGGTACAGCTCTGAAGATGAAGATACTCTTACTCTCCTTCTGTGCTTTATATAATAATACTACTTACTTGCTTTCTGATTTTTGTTCTTATTTTCTTACTCTTCCTATTCACTCGATTCTCATTTGCCACACACTACCAGTTTAAAACTTAACAGTAGACATAGTAGCACACAATTTTTTAAATATTAAGTTTTTTCAGAAAGACCTAGAAATTGTGTCATGTGCTGATACTATTCTTACTTTTAAATACTAACTTTGACTTAACATAAAGTTGAAGGTTTTTTGAGTTCCAAATTCTTAACTTCTTGTCTCTTTTGAGAGATTGGGGTAGACTAGGAATGGGGACTGAAGCAATGTAACTACAGAATTATTCACAGTATGAAATATATCTCTAAGAGATATTGTTTGCCTTTCTAAAGTTGTTGAAAGACTATCAATATTATCTCTTTTTCTCTTTCAGCAAAATGATGGTCCAACACTCAGGCCAGGTATCTGCATTAGAAGTCAGCGCCTCCGCAATTGTTCCCACTTTGTCCCCTGCAGGGTCACTGGGGTTTGATGATTTCACAAATTTAACCCCCTTGGTGAAGGAGGAACTGAGGTTTGCCATTCAGAACAAGCGTCAGTTCCACAGGATGTCTTCCACTTTGGACACAGTGACTGTTTCTGAAAGGCCAGTTGAAACATCAATGCTGAAAACAGAGGTAAGGCTCTTTAAACAGAGTTTTGATGTGAATGATTAATTCTCTAACAAAGTTTTGCCACAAGACCACTAACTGTATTAACTACAGACAACCCTCTGTACCATACTTGTTTCCTCTTAAGCCAGCTGCTTGGCTTTCTGTTGAGTGCTTCAGGCAAACCCTCTGGTATTTCTCATAATTGGATATTTGATTTTCAATATGGACTACAGACAATGTTTTACAGTGCTTAGAGCAAGTGCTAATCTGGTTTCCCTGCCCAGTGGTGGCTGAACTTGGAATAAGTCACTGCTGAAGTTCTGTTTCCCTGAGGACAGTCCAGCAGAACCCGTGGGGGTTAAGGCATGGACCTGCTATGTCCATACTATGTTTTTGCTTAAAGATGACACTATCCATGAAAAACATTGCTCTTTGAAAGTGGAGAAATAGCTTTGGTTAAGGAAAGAGTTACACCTTGGTCTGAGCTTCCTCAGGAAACAGAAGGAAGTGTGACAGTATGCCCTTTTTGGTGCTGCCTTTAATTCACTCACTTCTGGCTGCCTCACTCATGACACATCCTCCATTCTGCTCCCTGTGCCCCTCCTCCTTTTCCTCCCTGGGAAATGGAGGAGACACAGAGATGTGGGAGCCCGGGGAGACATTCAGTGAGTTTTTTGAGTACCACTGATTTTAAATGAGCCATCATATAGATTACATACAACCCTGCTCCAGTCAGGTTTTTATTGACAATTGTAATGAAGTTCCTGCCCTTTTACAAGGTCAGAATCACATTTTTGTGTAACTCATGGTGTGAGCACGGACAGCACTCTCTATGTTGATTTTAAAAATGTGGAAGTTATCAAAATACAGTTCTCCTGTTTACAGCATCTTATGGATTGTGTGTATCTATTTTTGTGGGACAGTTTTCTCCTGAAGAGGATGAAAGAAAAAAGAGAAGAAGGGAAAGGAATAAAATTGCTGCAGCAAAGTGCCGAAACAAAAAGAAGGAAAAAACAGAATGTTTGCAAAAAGTAAGTGGCTGGCTAGAATTGTTCTTAATCTGTCATCCTGCCAGGATCCAAACAGATAGCATAGGGTACTGTCATAGTAGGAAGTCAGAAAGATGTCCTCCAAAATGGAAAATAAACTTGCCATATATTAAATCCAAACCTGATTGAAACTGGCATAAAGTGAAAGCATGGTAGGAGTGAAAAGAGATTGCTGTTTCAGTGACCAATCTTGTCTATGGGGATAATGTTAAACTTGAATTCTCTGTCCTAGGAGCCCAGTCATATCTTCCCCTCCTGTGCTGTGATATAAAACTGTATTTCAGTAGCACCAGGCCTGTATCTAGGTATACAGGCCTGTATATTCCTATATTTAGGGGCAGGGAAAAAAAACTGTGTTTGTACTTTGCTAGCTTAACGTGGCTTTATAGATGAGCTAATGTTCCAGGGAGTTAAGAAGCAGCGTAGATAATTTTTGGTCAATTTTTGACCCAAAAAGCTCAGAATAATTTTGCAGAAGATAACAATAATGCTTTGGGTATCTGTCACTGTAAGTGAATACAAGTTGGAATTTTGCTTTTCAACTTCCATTATGTTCTCTAGAGGCCAAATGAGGTAACTCTCAATCTGGTTTTCAGGCCATTACTGACTGAGGAATGTACAGTTTCATCGTTACAGCACACTAAGTACATGTGATTCCTTTCTCTGCCAGCCATACGCTTTCCCACCCATAAAAGACAACTATAAGAAAAAAAGAGTGACTTATTGTTTGAACTTCTCAGTGTAAAATTGTGTGTGTGCTTTGTGCTAGGAATCAGAGAAGCTGGAGACGATCAATGCAGAGCTGAAAGCCCAGATTGAGGAGCTGAAGAACGAGAAGCAGCATTTGATATACATGCTCAACCTGCACAGGCCCACCTGCATAGTCCGTGCACAGAACGGGAGGACACCTGAAGATGAAAGAAATCTTTTTATTCAACAGATCAAAGAGGGCACATTGCAAGGTTAAGTGATACGGCAAACGTGGAAATATTTAAAATGTTTTTAACAGCTACCAGAATCCGTGGGGGAGTCTGACATAATGTGTAGGATTCTATTAGTCAAGAGCCTTTAGGAAGGGCAGATTGCTTTCATGAGTGGAAAGAATCATTTTGGCTTGACAGCGATCCTTGCCCTTGGAAGATCTGGTCTCAATCAAACTGAAGAGCCTTCTGCCTCCAATGTAGGGTTTGCACCTGTCATACTTGCTGTTCCTAGGAGCTACAGACAACAGCTTCTGAAGTTTTAGCTCTGCTAGCATACAGTATCTGCACTCACAGGTTTGTGCTAGAACACTATGACTTCCAGCCATGCACGGGGTACAGACAGCACTGCTGGATGGACACTGCTCTTCCTTGTTGCTGGTAGGGAAAGAAGACTGACTATTTTTGAATTTCCAGGAGGATGATTTCTGGCAGAATGTACTGATGTGTAATGTTGCATTCTAACTTAACACACACACACACAAACCCCCCCCCCCTGTAGTTCCAACCAAGCTTTGTCATTTTTTTCACAACGTTCATGTGGGTTTTTTCTGTGACTCATCTCAGTGACTGAATTTGAAGGGTCTAGTACGTGTGACAAAGAAAAGTTCCTTGCAGAACATCTAGGTAGCCTAGCTTGTATTTTATGAGCTATCACCCCAGATACTACCCCTTGGGGACAATTCAATTTTTCCTTGAATTGCTGAAGAGCAGCTTGTACCATCACTTACAGACTTGGTGAATTGATCCCACTGAATTGGAAAGAAGGAACTAACTGTGCATGGGGTATTGATAGAGGTTTTGGTCAAGTAAAGAACTGCAAGAGTGAATCCCAGACTCCTGAACCTTGAAAAAAAGAATTTTATTTAATTCATCTAGGATCTAATCCTACAAGCCTTAATTCATGCTATTACCCCTCAGTCACAGAAGAGGTTGCATGGATGTCAGTGGGTCTGCTCATGCAGATAGCTCTTACAGGCATAAGAGCTTGGCAAAGATTTTTCCATCCTGGTCAGGATTACTTCCTTTTGCCAGGTGACTCGGAGGGAAAAATTATGATTGTAGCTACTTTTGTTTTACATTTGAGTGGCAACTACAGTCGATCAAAAGTGTTACTTAGAATCTAAAGGAGGCAAGAGTTTTGATGTGGTGAATAATTGTTTAATTTTTTATTAACTACTAACCTTGGATGTTTTTGAACTGGTAGAAGAGCTGCTGGACAAAACAGTTGGAGCTATGAGTGTTGAAATTCTGATGTTTCTGTGAAATTCTCAGATTGTTTATTTCTATAAAATATACCCTTACAATTTTTTTTGTAAAAGAAAGTATTATCCTTATTTATCACTAATATCATAATGAGTAGAGCTAATAAATACTGCGAGCAAGATAAAACTGAAAACACAAGTGTTGGGCTGTCTTTTTACTTTTATCTCTTGGTGTTTAATATTATATATTCCTAAACTTCACCAGTTGTACTTGAGACACCACTATCCTTCATTTTTTTTGAAGATGAGGCACTGAGTGTCCTGAATGATTGGGTGCAGATAATGTACCTTCCAAGATTCTGTACCTCCATCTGTGGTGTCTGACTGTTCAATGTCACAATTTAAACAAAGCAAAGTACAAGTGGAGCTTACAGTGCATAATATTTTACACCAGTTCTGCGGTGTTGAAATTGTGTGTTTGTTCTAAAGGCTAAACTTGAAGATACCTCAGCCATGAGCTTCTTACCCTGCAAGTCTCGCATGAGTCCATCACACATTGTACCTGGTCCTCATATGATTGTTATATTCGGCAACAGAACTACTTAGTACCATTGCCTAAGATCTGGATATATTGTAATGTCCTATATCACGTGTTAAGGGTATGTGCTTCATGTATCTGAAAAGTGAATGTATTACAAAGATGATATTCTAGGTCCAATTTTGTCTTAAGAATCCATGATCTTTCTGTATATTGGAAGGAGGTTCTATTGACTTCAGTGAGAGTTTTTCCATTTCCTGTGAGCAGAGTATCGAGCCTCTGTGGCAACTTCTCTGGTTTAAAGGGCAAGTTCTACATGTAATTGGGCCAACTATTTACCAGACAACAGATCTACATGGAGTGTGTACAATAAACTTGTCAAACAATGTTCATTATTTGACTTCTGTAATGGGGAAATACAAAGCCAAGGCATCGCCCCGGTATCATACACTTTGGCTTTGCTTTTTGCCTCTCAAATACCAGCAGACAGGGCTGTTTGTCTCATGATTGGTTATAAAGTGTTACCACAGAGACTGTAATGCCAGAATTCATGTGTCTCCCTTAGGGAATTTGTATGGTTGCTTTAACCATATCACCGGTGACGCAGGCGTCATGCTTTTGTTGCTTGATCTTATTTACTCGGCATGCCAAATGTTAATATGGTACCACTACTATTGTCAGAAGAGAATCTATTTTTATTTCTTTACATGTGCAGTCATAGCTGCTCTGTATTCCTTCTGTATGTGTGTGTGTGTGTGCGTGCTCCTGCACGCTGCTCTGGAAATGATGGTACTCAGGGTCACTTGACTGTGCCCAGGAAAAGAGTGTTTAAACAGCTACACAGTATGTTGCATGAGTTTTCTCAAAGTATACTTTATTCAGGAGAACCCTTAAAATGCATTAAAAAGCAGTTTGTTTTCTATTCTTAAGTTTGTTTTGATACTTTAATAAAAAAGAATTAATATATATTTATTCACGTGTCATTTAATTCATTCTACATGTCAAGGTCCAAGAGCAACTTCATTCTCTTGAAACAGCACTGAGATATTAAAAAGCAAACATTCTTTACAGGTTTGCAACAATGAGCATCTTGGTACTGTTCACTGCTTGTCAAGGTGTAAACAAAATTTTGTTGTTGCAAGGTTGATTGTGAATTCAAAGCTTCTTATTTGTGGCCTAGAGCTTAGATTAAAGGACTAGAAAATAGAACTCCTAAACCTTTCCTATCCTTGCAACCAACCACCTGATAGTTATTTCAACTTTCTGGTTCCCTAATGAGTTTAATGCTTTTGCCACTCTGAAGCTTTAGTATTTCTAGATTGCTTTCTACAAGTACATGGAAGACACTAAGGAAGTATGGCATGATTAGGGCTTTGGTTTTTTCTCTGTCTCTGTGTATTGGTGTGTCTAGGGAGAAACATGAACAAAATGTTCCCTCCTGCTTTTCCAAAACTGAGTATCTACACACCCAGACAGAAGTCCCTGTGTTTTGACAGCCGGTGATGTGGACACAAACTTTTGGCTTCAATCCATTGCAAGCAGTCATAACTTGTAACACAGAGGCCAGATAGAAGGCCAGGAGCTCCAGGGATCAGGAAATCCATTGCTTTATTGCAAAATCCAGTTAAAAATATCATCTGGAAGGAAGATCTAGGCTACTCTGAGCTTGGCAATGTTGAATGTTTACTTTCTTTATTGGTCCATCCATTTACAGTTGTGCAGTCCCCGTAAGTGTATTCAGCCTTTCATGCATTCTCCTACAGCTGCTATCAAACTCTGCTTTTGAATACCCAGTTCAACACTAAATTGGCTAACTTAAAAATCATCTGCCTGACCTGGTTTAGAGAACCTTACCAACAAAATTAGGGCTATGATTTCCTGAACTGGCATTTTGTAATTTTTTTTAATGGTATGAGTTGAAAGCATGAAATTACCATTGGTCTCTGACACATTCCTAATAGCATAGTTGGTTTTCCTTGAGTAATTATATGCCACACCTTCTCTTCAGCATTTAGCATTGTTCTAGATGCTAAATCTCTCTCTCCAGGCCCATATAGACCTCAAAACATGCTGGGCTTCACACTATGACAAGGAGCATCTTCTGTTTCTTTTCTAGCTCTTTCCCTGATATAAATGAATAAATAGCAATATTAATAAGGTAGGTAGAGACAATGATTTATACAAGGCTGGAAATGTTTAATGAAACTGAATGGCAACAAATTGAAATTTACAATTACTTTTCTATCTGGGTCCATTAGAATTTGAAGTTGTTGATTAAAGGCATAGATTTGCTAAAGAATCTGGATGATTTAAGAGTAATGAAAAGCGTACAACTGTTTGTCACTAACGAAAGAGTTTTGAAAATAAAATGTATTTCATCTTAGGAAATTCTCAAATCCAGGGTGATGACTGTACCTCACATCCATTTTCCTTGGTGGTTTTGGTTTCCCTGCCTCCTCACCTGCAGCACAGTTCTTGTCTGGGTGCAAGCCTCACTCGCGCTGCCCATTGCCAGGTTTCTGTGTTTGCCCAGTGCCCCCAGCTGGAGACCTTGAGAATCATCCCGGGATTAAATGCGCAATGATATTAATTAACATAATTACTTTCTAACGGTCTTCATTAGATTGTAATTACACCAATAGAATATTTTCATTTCTATAATAGATGCCATTCCTTTTTAAGTGTAGTTAAGATAATGAGCAACAATAATTTTTAAGAATCCTGTTGTTTAAAATTCATTTCCTTAATGGACACTCTGAGTCAGAACTGCTGACTCTAGGGATAAAAATAGTTATTTGCTAATTTTCAGTGCTGTTAGATCTTCAAAGCCATCACAATTAAAAAGAGAATACACTGGAATCTATTCTTATATATAGCATCAGTTCTGGCTGCAAATATTTACTATTGCTGACAGTGATCCATTAACAAAAAAAACCCCAACCTAATGATTTTCAGACCCCAATGTAAGTGTGCTAGAGCTGACACTCAGAAAAAATCATTAGATCTATGAAATGAATAAAGAGAAAATGGAAACAAACCGAGAGAGTTCAAGCTGGAATACTTCTCCTCCTCTGAGAATTTAGCATCTTTATATTTGTAGACTCCACCAAAATAATTGGTGCACACCATGCCCGCTGGGTGGGAATGCCCAGGCAGCAAACAGCAGTGAGGAATAGCAATATTTTATATCAGCTAGCTCAGAGCTGGGCACACCCAGTGATGACAGCAGGAATCCCAGCCCAGGCTGGTGGGTGCCAGCCCTGGATGGGCTCTCTGGGGGTTGGCTCAGCCGG